CCATCTTTGGCGCGTTTTCACACAAAAATCGATTTACGGAACGCAAACGAAGAACTGCCAAGCCCGATAGAAAACTGAGCACGAGTCCGACGAGGTTATCGTCGTTCTCCAGCAGAAAAACACTCCTGTCGACAAGGCTTTTGTCTTTATCCACACACCGTCGTTTCGCATCTGGACCGTCAATTTTTCCACCTTTGAAGCTTCGTTTGTTGCTACGTTCAGGTATTTCCTTGGGTTCCAGTTGCGTGACGAGGGCCTGCACTCGTCGCTCTAGCGATTGTTCATGTGTATATTCATGCATTGAGTGTGCAGCATTGTAGAGCATCCACTCGAGGCGTTGCACCAGTGACGGCACCACAACGGAATTTCCGTTGCTTTCTGTTGCGATACACTTGGTACCTGCAAGCACTGGATGAAGACGTCGCAGGCGAAGCATCATGAGTTTACGGGTCAATCTGTCGTCCACATTGTTGTGCCACGACCGTCCTCGAGGAATCGCTCGGGGCAGTACACGTGTTGCAATGGTTGATGAAGATGCGGGTGGGTGTTGAGGCATTCATGCAGAGCCTGGAGGCGACGTGGCAAGTCCCCGGTCAATTTGGGAATGGAGAACTGCATGCAGGTATAACGCTCGCGTTCGACCATCGTCATCGGACGTCGGTGGGTTGGAAACTAGTCCAGCAGATGCATAGAAATCCGGTAGAGTTGCAGCGATAGGCGATGTTGTCGGCCCGGAACTTGTACCCACTGGGTCGAAGCTCTTCTAACTTCGAAGTGCCCAGCGAACGATACGACTGATAGCTTCATTTATCGTAGGCTTTGCATTTTAGTTCGAATGATCTCGGAGCTACGGTTTAGCACCGTTCTTTCGAGGTCTGTTGTTGGTCGTGGCCACCTCGTTACACTGCAATTTAGGATTTTAGATTGTGCACAGAGAGCAGCATGGGTGCCCAGTTGTCGCGGATTTTCTGAGCCTAACACGTAATGAGCTCAGTCCTATCGGTCTGCTCATGAACTTCATGCCACGTGGAACCAATACTTTTTGTATGCACTGATGTGTTCATGACCTCCGTGGCATAAGCCACCGTGGATACGTGGTACAACATCATCTGTCTTGAAAGTCGAACGGCATGGCTACATTTTCGCAAACACGTACTTGGTCCCGACTTTATAGAGTCCGCCAGATAGTTTGCAACCAGTCAAAAGGTAGCCTACAGAGTAGATTAAGCTCCCATTTCATCTCTCCTGGGTTGATATCGATAATCTGTAATGAAGCTGTCGATGCAAAGGCTACACTGTTGATGTAGCTTTGTTAGCAACACCTTGTACCGGTGCAATCATCGAAAATGTATTTACGTTCTACACCCACAGATTCCAGCGATGGGTTCTTCGTTCGAGTACTATACGAGATGACGCCACGAATTCTGTAAGCATTGGCGAGTGGTAATACAAGTGTAGCCTTATCTAGATGTGAGTTCTACTTCGAAGGCATAGATACGTAGGTAGGTCATTACGAGTGCAACCACTTCAACTCGGAACGGTCATCGTTATCATACGGTGAGCAAGGCCATCCCGACTTTCGTCAGCTCCATGATCACACACCTGCTATATTATAGTTGAAATCAACGGCTGTCGCGGTGTTCGTGCGTTGCTCTCTGCATTTCAGTTCACTTCTTCCAAGTCGATCGCCGCTGCTTCTTGGCTGGTGGTGGAGATGCAAACTTCGCCAACCGCTGCAAACCAGACTTTTTGCTGGAAGGCGATGCCGACGAACTGCCAGGCTTCTTCAGGAACGGGTTCGTTGGTGCCACTGACCGCTCTGCACGGGCAGCACTCGCCTTCGCAGTAGTTGTAGGTTTCGGAGAGCTGGGAGCTTTGTCCTCTTGCGTCTCCTCAACAGAAGTCGTATTCTCTTCTTTGTCCTCACGAGGCGGTGTGGACGGAGGTCGAGACAGAATACTGCGAGCTCGACGAAGAGGCTCCACCTCGCGCTGCTCTGGGGCTTCTTCCTCGTGACTGTACGATCGGGGCTGTCGACGTGGTTGGTAAGAGGTTTGCACCATCGACTCTTGCTCCAAACGCTTAGGTTCCTCGAACTTGACGCGATACAGCTCGTAGAGCTGAGATTGTAGCTGCCGCAACGAAAAGTGAATAGCGAGCTTCTGTGCAATTTGATGGGACTTCTCCAAGTGCAAACATTTCGCCAAGTCGAGCACACGGGCAGGTTCGTCGCTTTCGCAGGCTTTCTTCATCATCACAATAAGAGACTTATCCAATTCTGCCTGCTCTCGCATACCTTGATCCGCGACATTGGGATCGTTAAGCTCACTCGCGATAGCTTCCAACCCACACAGCCGCACATTCTGCCACATGTGGCCATTGGAGGCATCCTCGTTCTTCTTTGATGTCTTTGGGAAAGCTGCTGTGCGTAGTGGGAACGTACCGGGTACAGGGCGGTGGTTTCCACGGAGCTTCGGGGCACGAACACCCTTTTCAAGCGGGAAGTACAGCATTGAATCGTTAACCACGCCAAGGGTGAAGACGCCATGACGGTCCTCGGGCTTCTTTTGCAGCGTGTTGCCAACGCAGCCGATAGGGAACCAATTCCATCCTGTACTAGGCGACAGCGCCTGAATACACGAGAACGAGTCCACCGCGTAGAGAATCTGCCGATCATCAAAACCAAGCCATGTAAGCTTGGACCAATTAGAAATGTCTTCTCGTGCAGCCTCATTCTCCTTGTATGACGCGAATACATCCCGAGGTGGCGGTGTCATCGGCAAATCACCCTTCGAGACCAGCGTAACTCGCTCCCAGGACGAATCCACCCGAATGCGAAGCAGCTGATACTGCAGTTGTCCGTACAGACCCTGGTATACCACAGCCAGTAAAGATTCCTTGGCTGTCATGGTCACGACGCGGCCAGGAAGACGCAGCAGCGCATAGTCAATACCGCTGGCGGTGTAGATCCGAAGTGTCTGCAACGAAGTTGCTACGGCACAGAACTCACGGCCAGCAGCAACACATTCAGCATCTTCACCCTCAGGTAAGGTTTTGTGCCATGAACTGTTGCTAGCCCAAGACTCAAACGGACGGTAGAACACGAAGCTGCTAATGACATCATTTTCAGTGGAGCCTGCCTCGAGATCCTCCCACTCCTCACGAACACGTCGTGGAACGGCAAACACGGCACCATAGCTGTCTAAGAATGCCATGGAGAACATGTAGTTGTCGTTGAACTTAAATCCACGTCGAGACTTGTCCGTGAACTCGACCTTCACTAGGTTCTCGCTCATACTGGCGCCACGGATCAGCTCGATCTCACCTTCAGGCGTCCACGCCAGCAGTAATGTAGCACTGGCGCTGCGTCCAGCGGTGTCCACTACGCTACCAGGCTGGAAAGGTTCCGTGATTGTACGAAGTGCAGAAGTGTCCGCATTAGATGATTTCGGAGTAAACCGGGAAGATACCGAAATGTCTTCAGCTTCAAGTTGATCATCCTTCGCGGCATTCGCAGCCGCACCAAAACCGAAACTGGCCTTGATTGCCTCCACTCGCGCCTCATTATCGTCATCAAAACTCACTTCCTCTTCATCATCGCCCATATCATCCACTTCGGCTTCGTCTTCGACAAAGGAGGACGCTTTCAGTCTTTTGCGCGATTGTGAAGATTTAGCAGGAGCCTTAGTTGAAGTTGTCACAGACTGACCAACAATGTGCTGCGGAGGTGTGTGTCCAGCTGGGATGACATCCTTCACAAAAGCCAATTTGCCTCCAGTGTGGTAGACCACCATCGCATTGCTCTTATTGGCAAACTGCACGCCCAGTGCGGGGTAGTCGATCCTGAACGAACGCAAGACAGTTTGCGTCTCAAGTTCCCACACAAATATCTCCTTGGCACAAGTCGCCGCAGCCAAGTACTGCCCATTCGGCGAGAAAGCCAAGATATCCACATCAGCAGCTATACTTCTGCCTATCGGCAGCATTAACCGGCCTTTAGACGTCCACGAGTCTCTCTCGAAAAGTTCAACGATCCCCTTATCCATCGGGACCGCCAGCAACTTAGCGTCACCTCCTTCCTGCCACGCGCAACGCAGCAAAACGTCGTCGTTTCTGATGTCTCCGTGCTTGATCTTGAAGCTCTTCGCTTCCGTAGCGCGCTGACCTGCTGCATCCAGTGCAAAGATTCGCACTGTGGCGTCTTCACTGCTGGCACAGAGATATTTTTCCTGCGGATCCAATACGACGCTCTTGATGGCGCCAGTCGCTCCTTCTGCAAGGATTATTTGCTCTGTGTTGCTGCGCATCAGCACCCGCACCACGGGCTCTTCGTCTGCGATGGCGATGAACGAGGACGAGCATGCAACTTGGCGGATGGAGACGGTGGAGCGCCGCAGAAGCTGCTGCAGTTGGCACTCGGGCGGGAGGCTGTAGGACGCCACGTTGCTGTCGTCATCCGACGCAATGAGCACGTGGCTCTGCTCGGGCGTCACGGCGAACGACGGGATGAAGCCGTCGCACACTTCGTTTTGATACACGGAGCTCTCGGTCGTGAGGTCGGTGACGTACAACACGCCGTCCTCGCCGCTCGTGAAGATCACGTCACGTCCTGCTGGCACCTGGCCGTCCTTCAAGGGCTTCCGCGTCGTCACCAGTTGCATGGACCCTTTGCCATTGACGTTCACGGCGATCTCCCTTAGAGTCTCCATGCTGCAATGCAAGGCAATACCTGTGTCAAAAGCGTAAATGACTTCCCGCCAAAATACCGTCCAAATAAATTACGGATAAATTACTGCCACATGTTCGAAGTAAAATACACGTGAATAAAAGTGGAACGTAATGCAAGCAATATGCCAAAAGCGTAAATGACTTCCCGCCAAAATGCTTTCGGATAAAATAAATGACGGATAAATTACTGCCACATGTTCGAAGTAAAATACACGTGAATAAAACAACCTGTATCATTCAACGATTGACGTCATTTCTCGAAGAAGGGAAGTATGGGAGACCGTGGCAACGTGTACTACGCGCCTACGGGCGAGACGACCGAGTGGGAAGACATCCTGGTGAAGAAGGGCATTCTCGCACCCAAGACTAAGGTCCAAGACGAGGAAGAAGAGGAGGAAGAGCAGATTGACCCGCGTGAGAACGCCACGTTGGACGAACTGGATGAGCTCGAAGACGACTACGACGACGACGCCGAGTTGGCGAGAATCCGCGAGCGTCGCATCCAGCAGATGATGGCGCAGGCAGCGCGCAACAAGTTCGGAGACGTGCAGCCCATCGCCAAGGACGAGTGGACCAAGGAGGTGACGGAGGGCAGCAATGATCATTGGGTCATCGCGTACCTGTGGGATGAGGCGCTCGAGGAGTGCAAAGTCATGGACCACGTGCTGCGGGAAGTGGCCAAGAAGCACCGCGACGTCAAGTTCGTGAGCATCCAGTCGCAGGCTTGCATTGAGAATTGGCCTACGCGGAATTGCCCAACACTCTTCATGTACCACAAGGGAGCACTGAAGAACCAACTTCTGGGTATCCGCAAGCTCAACGGACTCGACATGAAGGTTGAAGGTGCGGCTGATGCGGTGGTTGTGTTGATGTTGAGGATATTGATGGGTTGATTGTGTTGTTCGATGTAGATTTGGAGGAGTACCTTGCCAAGGCTGATGTTTTCAAGGCTACCGAGTAGGTCCGTGGGTTGATCTCGCTAGTCTGTTAGGAGAGACGATCCGTGTGCATTTACTATAGATTTTGCCTTGCACCATGGCGTTGGTTCTATTTGCTGTTTTGTCTAGTCCTGCAGCACCTTGGGCACCTTAAAGTAGTAGCCAGACTTCTCAGCAGCATTCGCCAACACCTTTTCAGCGCAGTCTCCTTCCGTAACGACGTCATCTCGGAGAGGAGCCACAACGCCTGCAACAACAACAACACAAATGATGAGAACTCAACCACACTAAAACTAAGATCATCTGGCTCGTACCAGCATCAAAGTCACTCTTCGCATACACGTTGTCGATGTTCTCGTTGAGCGTCATGGCCTGAATGGTCTTGGTGCACTGAATAATAGACTCGACGTCCTTGAGCAGGCCTGGAAGTTTCTCGTCTTCAATATGCAGATGACACAGCTCCGCCAACTCACGCAGCTGCACACACAACCGCAATTGTTAACTACCCATTATTGCACCGTACAAACCACTGCAACTCGCCTTCTCCTCTGTCAGCACAGAATCTGAGGCGTTGAGTTGAGCTCCATCCTGATGAAGCTCCTTAAGCGACCAGGACGGAGTACGCGGGACGCTTGTGATCTCTCGAAGACCTTCAGGCAATGGCACAGCTGAAGAGCTCAAGCATCGAGATGTTGAGCCACGAACAGCACGTCGAACTGCGCGATGGAGCTGCCTTGCCATCACAGATGCTCGCATTAGAGTTATTCGCTTATTGCTACTTCTGAAATTTCGACTTGCTTTGTGCTACTTCAGAAAGAGTAGCAATTGGTGCCTGACGTTGCGGCCATGAAGGTGTCCAAGATGCTGATCGACTACACACTGCGCTTCGGCATCCCCATCGCGCTGTGTTACGCGTACTGGGACCCGAAGTCTGATGACGAAATCCGCCGCGATGTGGTGCGTATCTGCCTGACGAATGGCACTGAAGAGCTTCTCGTAGCAATTAGCAATTGACACATTTGCAATCGTATATTTGTTTGTGGAGCAGGAAGCTAAGATTAAGCCAGATCTAGAGACGAGGAAGAAGAAGCAGGCCAAGTTCGCAGAGTTATTGCTACAGAAGGACGGTATCTCGAACGAATCCAAGCAGCAACTAGATCAGGTCACGGCCTTCACCAAGACAAAAGAGCAATATCTAGCCGACCGGAAAGAGAAATGAAAGAGCATTGCGGACATGGAAATCATTGGTTCGAACTGTCAGTGCATGTATCTCTGGATGCGGCTGCAGTGCACCGAATCAACCTCTCTCAACGCAGTTTCCAGCTCACGCTGCATCAATTTCAAACCGTCGTAGTCTACACGAAGGCAAGTGGATTCAACTTGCGGTACATTGGAGCTGCTAGTTTGGGTGGCAGTGTCCAGACGAAGCGTCACTATGGGCTTCGGTTTGTTGCGATGGAAACGCGTGCCCAGCTTTCGTAGGTCCACAAGCGCGTTAGTCTCGCCTCTTGCTGCAAAAACATTCCACACACAGCAATTACCTCGAGGTCGATTCGCCACTCCAAATTGCGGTAGTGAGGAACACTTGTGCCTGTCTCTCTGGAAACGCACTCTCGGACGTCTTTCCAGTGCGCTTCGTATACCTTCAGGTACAGGGAATCACAGTTAGTAGCTGTCCTTCCAACGCAATATCACCCAAGCTGCTTCTTTTAACCTGCGCGAGAACTTCGATGTGTTCGTCCGGCAGCGTCATCCCCTTCAGCACTAACCGGAACGCACGCTCTGACATTTCAGCCTGTACATGGTCGTGTAGCTTTCATTACGTCTCATCACCGACAAGGCGCTGTAAGCTACAGCACACACCTTTGCTCCATCCATGAGAATCTTCGCAATAGCCAGCACAGTCTGCTCCATTTTCTCCGCTTCCCACCCCGACGCCGCTGTGAAAATCAGTTCAATACATCAGTATCAATTTACAACTTCGTCTGCATTGCAGCATGGAGCCTACAGGCTGTTCGTGTTAATCGTCGCTTGCTCTGCTTCTCTGCTCCAAAGAGCCTCACCGCCAGCTTACACACCGCCCCAAAATCTGCACCCAAACGAAGAAATCCGCTGTATTCAGAATACCAACTTAACCATTAACATTAGAAGACAACGCAGCGCCTCACTTTCATTCGACAGCGCGTTGGTATTCGCCACAGCCTCAAGCACGCGCTC